TGAGAACAGACTAATATGATATTTTATTCAATAACTGAGCTTAGAATGTATTATTCTTATATGTTTGTACCCCAGAAAGAATTCCACTGGATAGATTTTGCTGCTAAGCTCATGGGATCTCTATGTCACATCTGTGTAACACACAAAACCAGTAACACAGCATCTCCCTAAGTGTGGTCTCACAGAGTTCTTATTTTACCCTTATTATAACATTTTACTTATGAGAAAATTGGAATAAAGAGACTTGACTAAAGTTTACTGTCTAATGAGTGGGGGAGAATGAAGTTGAGCTCAGGTTCATTCGAGATTCTTTTTTCTTTCCATGACACCAAGCTGCCAACAGTAGAAAAAAACTCAAAGTGTAAACATAAATAGTTGGCAGAGAAAATCAAGAAAAACATTATGATTAGGTTTGTCAGAAGTTTGACCTGGAGATGGGGAGGAGTGCTTTATGATATGAGGAGCAGGACAAATAAGTTTATCCTTCTGTAAAAGAAAGTTTAGACCTCAGCACTCTTAGGATTCTTGCAAGACTTCAATAAGGTAAGTTTAGGCAAAAGCTTTTGTGAGCTAAATGTTAACCTTTTTGTTCACTGATGAATCCCAAGTACCTAGAATGATGTCAGGGTAAATTCTTTCAAAAAGTCTTCAGCTGAATGAGTATGTGACATTATTATTATTGTCAGTACCCTTGGAGGTTCCCTTGATGTTATTATTAGTAAAGCATCAGACACCTGAGCTGGGAGTCTCAAAATCTAAGGGACTAGTCAGCCTACCAACATCGCTGTCTGTGAACCAGCTCTGAACACTTCTAGCCTAAGTGCAATAGAGAGATTTCGCAGATGAGGGGACTCTGTAATTACTCTGGGGTACTTCAGACTAATGAACAGGTAAGGCCAGCACAAATAAAGATATTAAGATACATGTTGGCCTTCCATTAACCCATTCGATCTCTCACATCAGTCTGTCTGCTTAGACAGTGGAGACTTGTGCCCGTGGAGACTTACACTTCCTGAACTCTAAGAAGAAAAGGAAGTAACTGGGAATTAGGAAGTGCAGGGAATTGATTGAAATTCCCCCATGAGAAAGGCACTAGGCATCCTACGTAAGCCTTTGCACCTAGGCTGTGGGTTAGGGTTGGGCGTCACAGTGGTTGGGTTGTCCACCGGCTCCCATGGTGTTATAAGCAGGCTGGGGCATAGGAAAATGAGGTTGAGAATATACTGCATATTGTAGTTGGTGTACCTCGTAACCTCAATACTGACAGAAACTACCATACAGTCTAGTTCTGTCTCTTGGATTTCTTTTTTCTTGTTAGGGAATGATAAGAGAAAATACCTTGCGGAGGTTACATCTGGCTTGATTTCCTCCTAAGGACTCATCTGGCACAACCAGCAGCCTCTTGCTGAAAGGAGAAATATCCCTTCCTGACCTTCATGTGGAGGACCTCAGCACATCCACAGCAGAGAGCTCAGAAAAGATGATGTGTTGGTCCTGAGAGGTTTGCACCCCCATCTGGCTTGAATCTCTCAAAACTTCCTGTCCAGCCTTATCCCTTAGGAACATAGAGAGGGCTTTCTCTTATAAATATATTTTTTAAACAAGTAACATCCAGAAAAGGCAAACCTATCCTCCGTTTGCTATGTCAGCCCACAAGTCAAGACCTCCATCAACAATGCCTTCTTTCTAAAACAACCAAACCACAGAAGATTGCTTCTCTTTCGGAGGCTGTCCTGTGATTGTGCAAGCGGCTAAAGGCTGCCGTACTTGAATGTCCAAGTACCAAGAGATGTAGCAGGGAGGGATGACAGGCAGCTTGGGTTAGGGTAGGAGTAGGTGAGGCAATAATACCTGAGAAATTCTGTAAGAAATTAAAGGCTCTGTAGAGAGGGAGTGGCTGAGTGAGTGGATGAGGTAGAAGGTAGAACACATTTTTACTTTTCAAACACTTTTTAAAAAATTCTACTGTCAGATGACCCTACTCATTAATTCATTTTCTCCCTGAAGACTATTGAATATTTAAGCCAGGGTCCTGAGATGTGCCCAGCGATTTCATATCAGGGTTATATCCGGCTTAATTTCCTCTTACAAGGACTCTTCTGACACAACCAGCAGCCTCTTCCGTATTCCTGGATGACCCCATCGTTCACTGCCACAGGGACCCAGCAAGCCCCTCCTCCCTGCAGCCAGTCCATATCAAGCCGACTTCATTTCTTCCCACCGAGAAGGTTTGTTATTCTCATTTACAGAGATGGAATTTAGAGATGAATTTGCAGGTGGAAGAAACTCTCTCCTGACTCAAAATATTCATGTAAAATTGGCTGCAAACACTAAGCCAATCTTTGTACAAGGGTTGGGGTCAAGCCTGGTGACAAACCAATCTCTTTTAAGTCTCAACATTTCCATGTCTTTTCCTAGAGTCAGTAAACAGTTGATCGCAAGTGGGAAGGTGAGGGCTGAGGGCCTGGCTCCTAGCTCCTACTTCATGGCTCACTAGCTGAGTGATTTTGCTCAAGAAGCCTAAATTATGACTGATCATCTCCTCATCTTTAAAAAAGAGATAATGATGTTACAAAATTCACAGGGCTGATGTGAGAATTAAACGTGATAATATTTGTAAAAGTGTTTTATACAACACTATAAGCGTAAGACATATTATTCGTGCTAGCTGGAGGCAGATGTCTTGACAGAAAATCTCTGGAGGTTGCTCCCAATATAAACATTCTATGATTCTTCCGGCCATTTAGTCAGAGTGGAGATAAATGGCTGCAGCTGCTACCCTTAGCAACCAGCCTTCTTTGCTGTAGGCTGCTGTTTGTCACAGTGACCACTAGGTGTCACCTCCTTTTAAACTCTCTCCAGCTTTCCCAAGCGAATCTGGATCCTTTCAGAAGCAAAAGGCATCGAAGACCGGAATTTAGTCTATACTGGGGGGACTTGGAGTACTGTCTCCTCCACAGTGACAGAGGTCTTTTGCAAGAACCAAAAGGACTCTTGAATTTAAGAAACATGGATATATTCAACACACCACCCTTTCTTGCTTGTTCTCAACTCTCTCTCAGGACTAAGAATACGAGATTACACTGTTCATTCTAGTCTGTCCGAAAAACAACTGTGGAACCAGTTTGAGGGGTCTGGGAGAAGCAAACCGGCAGGTTTATCTGAACCCCTTGAGAAGAGAACAGCATGAGGAAAAGCACCTGCAAAGCCCCCTTTTTTTTTTCCATAACTAGAAATGTGTGTAATCTCACTGCCAGGACCTCTTTATCAAGAAGCTCCTACTCAGATTCCTCCACAACATGCCGCTAGCCTGAGCTCAGAGCAAGCAATTTGGTAAAAAGACCATTGAGCTCTAAGGGTTTTCACTCAAAGTTAGACAGAAGGAGGCCTCAAGAGGTTCTAGAAAGAACACTCGACTGAGAATGGGGTCACTGAGGCTTTAGGCTTCAAGAGGTTCTAGAAAAAACACTGTGCTGGCAATGGGGACACTGAGGCTTTGGTCCAGGCAGTCCACACGCTAGCTGCACAACCTCGGGTGAAATCACTTTTCCCCTCTGCATGTATTTCCTTCTCTGTAAAGGTAAAGATTTGAGTAAGAGGGTAATTGAAATCTCCTTCAGAGGCTAAAAATCTATAAAATCACAGTTACATGGGTGGGTAATGTATCAGATACATAACATTGACATTCATCTGCTTGTTGCCTTGTCAGGACACTTGATGAGGATTCTTGCCAGTTTAAGAAACATGCATCCATTTACTTATTAAACTCCATTCTTTCCCAAGGAGTTCGGATAAAGTCATCAGTTTTCTTTTCCTGAACCCTTCAGAACGGTTCAATGGCTTTTCTGGAAAGATTACAACAGACAGTGATGAAAATCCACTCATGTTCTTATTACTCAGAGGTAACTAAGGACAAGCAAAAAAGAGTGGTATGTTTAATTCATGCATGTTTCTTAAATTCAAAAGTCCTTTCATCCTTGCTAGTCTTTCCGTGTGCACTGTAAACTCCTGAAGGCAGAGGCCATGTCTTCAGTCTATCCTCCTCCCTCCTCCTCCATATAGACCCAAGCCAGGGCTCTGTACTCTGTAGTTGTGCAGTAACTACAAATGACTCACTGACATCAATTACAGGGGAAGAAAAGATTTAGTCTAGATAAAAAGTTCTAGAGTGTTCATGTTTAGTATAGCATATCAATAATAATGATGGCTAATATTTATTTAACACTAACTGATAAGCAAAATAAGGACAGAGATTTGCCATCTGCCTTGTCAATTGCTGTATCCAAGAGGCTATAACGGAATAATGCTTGGGACATCTAAGGAGCTTGCTAAATATTTGTGAAATAAATAAACGAATGAATATTTAGCATGGATTTGTTTTACACATTGCCTTGAGAGGCATTGCTATTATTTTCATCCATGTTAGGGGGGAAAGAACTGAAACTAAGAATATAAAAGTAACCTGCCAGTTCTCACACCTACCATGGGCAGCGGTGGGATTCATACCAGCTTGTCTGGTCCCCAAATCTACCTTATATATAAAGCTCAACACTAGGAAAATAACTTATCATTTCCTTTGATAACACATCTGAGGTGAGAATATATACTTTTCTTTTGTGATGCATTAATAATTGTTTTCCCTCAAAAGAGGAGGATAGGGAAAGATGTTTTCCCAGGTCCCCTAACTCCACAGAGTGAAGAGGGGTAACCTTCCATGTCTCTGGAAAGGAAGGCTAAGCAGGAGTCAATTTACAAATCTGGCACTAGGTGGCGAAAAGCAGATTAGTGTATGTGTCACTAAGGACCTGTACTAGGATTAAGCATGGATTAAGTGCTTTGTGTGTGTTGGTGGAAGGATGAAGAGGGAAGCCCTGGAGGCATTCATACGAAAAAGAACTTTGGCTTATAAGAAGAGGATTGGAAATGGCCATGATGGAAGAACCCAGGCGTGATTCATTTTCTCTCTATAATTCATGTGCTTGTTCTATAGATATGTGTTGAACACCTATTTATGTCATTATTATTCTCAGTGCTGGGGATACAAGAGTGAACAAGACAAACATCCCTCTCCATATTATGGAGCTCATGTGCTCCTGGCACACCATGGATCCTAAGCAAACTCATATTTCTTCCTTAGTCCTGCTAACCAAGGTTCAGGGGAACCTACTGAAGGCTTTGCAGAGATCCCAAATCTGAAAATGAAAAACATAAGAGTTGAGTTATTTTTTCTTAATTATTTCCAATATATTAAACTTCCATAAATACATACATCCTGATTTCATTCCACCTCTTTCCCCGTAACTCCCATAAATTATATACCTCCTGATTTTATTCTACCTTTTTCTTTTCTAGTCTTCTCAAGGCTGGGGAAATTGGACCCTGTGAAGCACAAGAATGTGGAAACCAAATCAGATATTCTAAGACTATTTTATCAGTGTTAACTGGCACGAGGAGAGTAATCCTGTGCTCGCTGCCGATGCTCTTCAAGAAACTGTAAACCTGGTGTTGAGAGAGACCTTAGAGATGATGGATTTTAATTCTTCTATTTTACAAAACTCTTCTATTTTACTCTACTGAAGCCTCGAGAGGGAACACGACTACCTTATGAAGGTCACAGAGACAGTTTGAGTAATAGGTCTAGATCTCAAGTCTCATGTTGCCTAACCCAGAATGACACAATTGCAAGGCTCCCAGGGGAGGCACAAAGACAGGAAGAAACTTTAGTGAGAGAAAGCAGTGTGGATGTCCTCAAGCATGCTGGATATTAACTGTATGATTTGCCACAGCTTAAATTGATTCTTCCATTAAAATAGGCAGTGAGTATGCTCATGACATCTGTTCCCAGGGCTCTCCACTTCCACCCAGCAGGACCACAAGACCTCAAATGTGTCAGTAGGTATTCACTGTCCTCATCATCACAAGCCTAGGTCATTAGCACCACCTCCAGGAGTGTCTCAAAGCTTCCAACCTCTCTCTCCATACTTGGACGAAATTAGTTTTCAAAGCCCACCAGCTAGCCGTTCCCACACCCACAATGATACTATGTTGTCTCTCAAATCAAATACAGCCTTCAGAGTCTGACATCAAAGGGCTGGTTCAGAGTAAGCAGCCATCGTCAAATACCTTCCCATCAGGTACTAGACACCAGGCTTCATGTCAGCAAGTTGCCTCTCATTTGCCCCCAAGCCCTATGAGTTCAGTGTGAGCTGTTCAGTGTGAGCTGTTGAGTGCTGTTTGCCAAGTATATCCAGCTCTTCTCCTTCTGAACAAATACAAGACTGTACTTCCCTGAATCCCTTGAAGTAAAGCACGACTGATTAGAGAAGACCAAGCACATGGTTCACAGAGCATCCTACCCTTTTGACAAGGATAGGCTTGAAACAGGAGAGGAAAAGTAACCTTTTATAAGCCACAGAGATCTAGGGGATTGTTCCTGCAGCATGATCTATTCCAGCCTATCCTGACTAATTCAACTGTTCTTATTAACCCCATTTTACAAAGCAGGACACTGAGGCTCAGAAAGGTCTTATACGTTGCTCCATTTATGCATCTAGCAATTAACAGAATGAGGTTTTAACTTGGAGCCCTGGCATGCCTGATTTCACAGCTTGTGATCTACGGACCACAAAGAGGTGTCTACCCATCTAGGCTGGGACTCGCAATTGGCCCTTCTGCCTTTAATCTCTTATGCTTCCAATATTGTATATTCAAATATTTATTGTTGTCTTTTCTAAGTACCACCTTGATCATGTTTTTCACTCACCCAGAAACTTCCAAGGCTTTCTTTTGCTTATATAATTAAAGGAAGAAAGTAATAGGAAGCCCGAAACAAGATCCTTCCTTTCTAAAACATCTGCTTGCTGCTCCCCTGACTGCCTGGACTCTGACATCACCTGTGAGGTTGCATCAATCAGGATGAGCTGAAAGAAGGGATGGGACAGTGCTGTAGATTTCCTTGCCTCTGGCTCCAGGGATCCTGTGGATGAAACAGATCTTTTGTAGTTATCTTATTTTCTATGCCCATACTCACTCTTCAGAACATATAAAGAGAAGTCATCTCCACCTCATTGTAGGGTAGATCAACTCTGGAATTTTCTCAGACTCCTTGGTTGCTCTAAAAATTGTTCTTTTCTGTTTCTCATGAGACTCGAGATGACCCAGCTCTCACATGCAAAGAAGTGCCAAAAAGACAGATCAAATATACTTGGAAAGATTCTACCATGCAACCATATACCCTAGGTTAGGTTCTGATTTCCCATGGCACCTGCATGCTCCCTTCAACTATATCTCGGCACTGATATTTACAGAAAAATAATAAACATAATCCACATTGGCGCACATATTGATCCCCAGATTTCACTGACATTTACGAATAAATGATGGATTGCCTTTTTTGTGAGGCTAGCTGAGCTGGCCTACGTGGCCTGTACATAATTTACTTTTGATTAAAGGAGTGCTTCAACATCGAGATTCTGTTTGGGAGCGTGAGGCAGGATCGATGCGTTTATGACACAAACTTTCAAGCAATGTACTCTGAGCGAGAAGTCTCTGCACTCAGTTCATCTCAGATTTAGTTGGTGGGAGGGAAGGGAGAAGAAAGAGGAAAGGCCTGGGATTTCTAAGAATTTGTCGTGGGGTACCATTCAAGAGTCTGAAAATAGAGTGGCTTTGTTTTCTGTGGCTTTAGGTCTATGCTATCATCAGGGAAGAGTGATAGAAGGGTTTTCAGGGGCCCAGGATCTCTCCCAAAGACCCCTAGAGAAATAGGAAGAAACAGTGACAGCAGTTATTAGGAAGGACAAGCCTTCCAAGAAAACTGAGAATTTTCTTATCCAGTGTTTTGCCTGCTTTTGCCCACCGTGCAAAGGCAAAATTTTGATTGCAGGCTGTATTGGTTGATCTCAAACGCTAGAAGCTGAATGCTTTTAGATAGATGGGGTACACATGCTCTGTTTTGCCACATTCCACACTATCCCTTGTTACATCACAATTGGCCTGTTTTAGTAACCTTTGCTTCTGCCTTATCCCCAAGTTAATTCATGTTGCCACTCCTGCTGAAGTTACTCTGCTTTGGTGATCTTTTTACTTTTCTCTTAAAGACAGGGCCTCACTATGTTGCTCAGGGTGCTCCTGAACTCCTGGGCTCAAGTGGTCCTCCTCCTCAGCCCCCGGGGTAGCTGGGACTGCAGGCATATGCCACCACGCTTGGGTGGTGATTTTTTTTTTTTTCTGAATGTGCTAGTATAGAATGATGTCTCCATTTTCTTCATGATTACATTAGGTTGGTTATAGAATGACAATAATTATAGCAAAATGTATGAAACCTATACCTGTGTCTCATTTAAGGCTCACAACAGGCCTCTCAGGAAGGTAACGTCGTTACACTCATTTTCAAGATGAGAAAATGGAGGCTTTGAAAGGGAAAATGACTTACTCAAGGTAGCATAGCTGGCAAGTATGCTACCTTGTTCAAACCAGGTATGTCTCGCTTCTAGGCCTTTTAACCAAATATTTGACTGATTAAACCACCTGAAGAAGCTACTATCTCTTCCTTTGTTGGAGAATAATTTCCAAGAAGATGGGAGATTCATTTTACATACCGCTATAGCCCCAGGACCCACACATTGTAAACACACTCTTCATAAGGTGTGCGGCTGTAGCTGAAGCTCAAGGGGCCCCGACCCAGCAGCTATAGTTGTACAGGTTATGCCTTGCACCTGGCTGAGGACCAACAGGAGGAAGGGGTTGGGGGAAGCTGAAATCCAGCCCCCACTCCATGGACCAGACCGAGCCTCTTAGCTTGTGGTTACATCCACCTGGAAAAATGGGCATCTTTTTCTAATTTGTACAAAGGTGCTATTTGGGCAAATAGTGGCCTAGGTAGAGCTTCAGGAGGCCTCGGTAAACCCATTGCCAGTGACTGGAGGACACAAGGTCTCAACTTGGCATTTCAGGATGGGTGATGGAGGGGGAAACAGAAGCATGCAGCGATAGGGAATAGTCAAAAAGGATGCTAATTAAGGCCCAAAGTCAAAGGAGATATTCTGTCCCATTTGTATTCTTAGTTCCCCATATTTCCCAATTCTTTCCCTTTTGTTCTCCATGGTAGAGGCCTTACTCAAATCTCTTATTTCCTATTTAGCCTTCCCTATCTACCTTCAACAAATATTTATCACACTTCTGCTATGCACAGGGCACTGTAGTAATATAGATCTGGTCCCTGACTTTGTGAAATTTGCAATCTAGTGAGTGTGGGTGTATGACCACTGATTAGTTTTTGTTTTTGTTTTTGTCTTTTGATACAGAGTCTCGCTCTGTCACCAGGCTGGAGTGCAGTGGCACAATCTCAGCTCACTGCAACCTCCACCTCCCGGGTTCAAGTGATTCTCCTGCCTCAGCCTCCTGAGTAGCTGGGACTACGGGTGCGTGCCACCAGGCCCAGCTATTTTTTTGTGTGTATTTTTAGTAGAGGCAGAGTTTCACCATATTGGCCAGGATGGTCTCGATCTCTTGACCTCGTGATCTGCCCACCTCAGCCTCCCAAAGTGCTGGGATTACAGGCGTGAGCCACTGTGCCCAGCTGACCATTGATTAATTATAATAGAAATGCTTTTCAGGATGATAGTAACCAATAATTACATGTATTGAGAGGCTACTATGCATCTGGAATTTTGGTGAGCAACTTTAATGCATTATCTTATTAACCTTTACAAAATGCTATGAATTAGGTTTAATCTTTCTTTAAAGTCTTTTCTCCAGAAATTCTATACTAAATGAGAAGATGAGAAGTAGTTAAAACTTTTCCTCTCAGTCATATGCTGCACTTGCAATCACTTGGATATTTTATATATTTTTTTGTATGTGCTTGAATTTTAATGTTAACATATCTACCTTAGTCTCTTCCATCTCCAAAGCTAAGGTCGAGAAACTTCAGCCTCCGAACCACCCACAACTCTTTACGTCATACCTCTGCACAGCTTTCCCAGGCTGCCTTTGGTGTTGCAGCCATTGACGACCCTTCTCACTGCTGAACCCCAACTCACAAGTCCTCAATGTGTAGAGCTCATCTAGGATTTACTCAATAGTAAACAAACTCCAATTCCTGCTCTCTAAAACAGAGCCACCCTTCCTTGCCATTCTGTACTTAATGTTGCAGTTATAGCAGTCATTAAACCAGAATTTAGACTTCTATTAGCATGATTTATGGCTTTCTTTTTTGCATCTTCCATATGGAAGTATAATTTCTTTGGACTGAGCAAGAAAATGGTGACTGGCAGATGCTATATTCAAATAGAACATGTCAACATTACATGTAAACCATTTTCGATTCCATGTTATGGTCACTTGGTCACTAGACTGCCCCATTGACCATCTTAATGGAAGAACTAGTGCAGGACTATGTTCCTATATGAGAGCGTGGAAGACTCTAACTTGAATCAGGTCCAGCAGTAGGTGGGGAATGAGATAAGTTTTATTGACATATCAGATCCTGTGCTAAGGACTTTATATTTGTTATCTTCTTTATTCCTTACAAAACACTTGAGAGAGATTATTGTTGCTAATTTTTTTTTTTTAATTTGAAAACTGACACCCAGTGAGGCGAGCAGTTTGTCCAAGATCACTGGGTTATTCCCTAAAAACCTGTTGGAATAATAATAATGATAACAAGATCACTAGGTCAAATTTAAAAAGCCAGGCCTAAAAAGCTCTGAACTTCCCCCACCGGTGCACCCCTCGTTCACCCACACACTCCAGAAGAGGGTGGGGCTGGTGTCATAGGCCCAAGTGGCCACATTTGTAGTTCTCAAAATGTGCGGAAGCAGCCATCAGCATCACCTGGGAACTTGCTAGAAATGCAAATTCTTGAGTCCCTTCTCAGAACATCCAAAGCGGAAACTCCAGCTGGTGGGGATCAGAGATCCAGATTTATTAAGTCCTCTAGGCAGGCTGTTTGAAAACCATTGGCTTATTCACTCTTTGAAGCTCAATGAATCATCATTCCTTGCATAAAAAGAGAGAAGTAGAAAACTTCCTCTCTGAAAATTGGAACTAGGCGGGCAGACTGTAGCTCATTTAGAAATTTGAACTGGAGTTCCTGAGATTTGTCCTGGCAGAGGAAAAATGTTGAGGTTGACCACGGTGTGAAGAATGGTGGCTCCCACCCTCATGAGCAGAAAACTCAAGAGAGGAGGAACTAGAGAAGATTACATTCAATCATCAAGAGCTTTAGTGGTTTTCTTAGCATAAGAGGCATTGGACAGAGGAAAGCTGGTCAGAATCCTATGGCATTCTCAGAATCAGAAAAGCGGTTTTGCTTCCCTCCTGTCCCCCAAGTCTTTTCTTCCTTAGTGTAAAATAAAGTTACCTTTCAAATGCCAGCTTTATCTTTCCAGTAAAGGGAGTTAAGTGAAAAGGCTTTGCCTACCTTTGGACTGGGTGTTGATTATAAATGCAAGATCCCTGAGTGCCTGGCATAAAGACAGTTGCCTGAACCAGAATGAGGAATCCCTAGAATCCTGCCTCTTTTCACATGGAGCTTCTTTCCACTAGTTTTTCTCTCTTCATATTGTATTCCTGTGATGAATGCGTGTGTGTGTGTGCACGTGCGTGTGTGCGTGCGTGTGTGTGTGCATACATGCGTGCAGGTGGGTGTGTATGCATGCGTGCAGGTGTGTGTACGTGCGGGTGTGTGTACGTACATGTGTGTGTGCACGTGCGTGTGTGTGCGTGCGTGTGTGTGTGGACGTGTGTGTGCGTGTGTGTACGTGCCTGTGTGTGCACATGTGTGCGCGTGTGTGTGTGTGCTCACGTGTTCGTGTGTGTGCGCGTGTGCATGCGTGTGTGTGTGCATGCGTGCGTGTGTGCATGCACATGCACATGTGCATTTTGCAGGGTGGTTGGGGAAATGCCCATGTTTGTGCTTTATTTTCACAGTGGGCCCTGCTTCTTAGCAGCTAATCTGGGTCTGGAAAGTGA